GCGAACCTAATTCAACACCAGTTTTAAAGCTGAAGGCCATGATTTTCATTACCACAGTCCAAGGACAACTTGCATCATGTCAGAGACAAATGAGTCCAGAGGACTTCACGTCAACCCACCAGACTGTTCATATGAAGCTTCGAGATTATCGCTAAGCACATTATTTCCCAAAAGACCTGATGATCTAATGAGCTCTAAAGACTCAATCCCTCAGTACCAAGCTGTTTACCACCCTAAAACCCCCAATCACAGAATGGCATATGGTTCTCTTTTTTATTTTTAGATAATAAAAAAACCCCAAAATAACAACATAGACAAAGACAAAACAAAGCAATAACAATAAAAAGATACAGGGTTTCAAAATAAAATGATAGAAATTAGCAGTGGTTGTTATATTACTTATTGTATCTTCAGTGAAGTTGCTCAGATTACCAGATGTAAGAATGCAAGATTGATCAAACCATTAAAGAGAATAAAATATAATTAAAAAAACATTAGAGATGATACAGTTTCACTAGACAAGATGGTAGGAATTTACCAATAGTTGTTACATTGCATATTGTTGTCTTCAAATCAGTTGCTCAGATTACCAGATATAAGCATGCAAAATTGGTCAAAATAAAAAAATTTAAGCATTAACTGTTCCTTTCAATAAGCCAATACACATCAGCAGTACAATTATCCCAGCTGTCTTTCTCTCTCTCTCTATATATATTTTTTGCCTTCCTTTCTTCTTTCTTTCTTTTGCTTCTCTCCTTCATTCCCGTTGTTCCTTCCTTTGAGCAATTTCTTTCCCTTTCATATTATCTATTGTACATTTTTGGTTTTATTTACTCTTTCAGGTTCCTACACCAAGGAGACAATAGGATGTTTACATATGTGGGTCCAATTTATTTCACTTATGAGTATGGTCTCTAGTTGCATCCATTTATCTATAAAAACCTCAGGTGTATCTTTTTTTATAGCTGAGTAATGCTCCATTGTACAAAAATACTACATCTTTTTTTATACATTCAGCTATTCCTTTTCTGGGTATTTTCTCAGAATTAAAAACATCATACCACAGTGATATACGTGCAACCATATTTATAGCAGCATAATTTGTCATAGCTAAATCTTGGAAACAACCCAAATGCCCTTGTGTCTTTTGAGACTGTACACAGCCTAGGCTAAGGCATTCTTTTGCTGGACGTTTTTGGTCAAGATCTTGTGACACTGAGAGATTTCATCAGAGCCTTCATTGTTGCATAAGGGTCAGCTCCTGAGCTCTTAGATGCTTCCATGTTCTTCTTTTTACCCTGAGTTCTCTCTCTCTCTCTCTTTTTTTTTTAAAATAAGATTACTTATAATAGTCATCCAAAGCATCATATACAAAAAGAGAGTACAGGAAATCTGACCACACACTAAAGACCAAAGAATTCAGCTGAGGGCCTGGATCCCACAGTAATGTCCTGTATGAGCCCAGTTGAAGACTTAGAGCCTGTCACAATGCCCCCGTGAGTACAGTAGGAGGCCAAGAGCCCACAACATCTCCTAGAGGCCTGTTTCATGGATCTGTGCTGGGAAGGCCTAAAGGTCAATGGTAGAAGCCAGAAAGCCTGTGCCAGCAGGATGAAGCATCTGTGCTAGCAAGCTGAGGGATCTGCACTGGATCCAGGAATTGACACTTGAAATAAGAACTAGTGCTTCCCTGAAGAGTAGCATAGCCATCCTCAGCAACGGTGAGGTCTCAAGCTCCTCTGTTTGTTTGTTTTTTTTTTGGTTTTTCTCAGGTACCAGGAACCGAACTCACGACGTTGCGCTTGCCAGGCAGGCGCTTTGCCACTGAGCTAAATCCCCAGCCCCTCTCAAGCTCCTCTGATGATAACAGCTGAGTTCCCATCAGGAAAGCCAACACAACAAGCTTCTCCAGGAGACTGAGCAGTGCACCATCTTTCCCTCTGGAGCCAGGAAGCAATGCTCAAGTGAAGGACCAGAGCTCCCCCAAAGTGAACCTCAACCATCTTCAACAACAGCAGGATACCAAACACCTCCTCCAGTGAGAACAGCTGAGTTCATCAGGAAAGCCAGCACGACAAAGTCCTCCCGCAAAATAGCACAAGAGAATCAGCAGCTCCCTAACAGCTTCCCAATAGCTGCCAACTTCTTCCTCTCCAGTTCTGCCTCTTATGCTCTGGTAGCAGTCCTCAGGTGGGCCTCCCACACCCAGCACCACGCTGGTTCAGTTCGGCTGGGTGTTACAAGTTGACCATCAGTTGTCAATCCAGCACATCAGACAAAGGACTAATATCTGGAAAATTCCTAAAAATAAAAAAGAAAATTTTAATTGATGCTCCTTTATAACATGATGAATTGCTTTTATCCTGCTCTTTTCAATTTTTCTTTTTTTTCCCATGCATTTTAGTAGGTTGTTTATACTTGTATTAGTGCAGGCCTCTTTAGATTCATCCTAGCTGGAATCCTTTAAATTTAAATTTGACAGTCTGTTTTCTTGCTCAGATTTGGGAAATTTAAGAGCATTAGTTTTTCAAATAAGCTCTTTGCTCTGTTTCTCCTTATTTTTCCTTCTAAGAATCCAATAAGCTCTATATTGATTTACTTTATGTTTTTACATAAATCCTTTAGGCTTTCTTTATTAGGCTGCTTTTTGTTCCTTTCATTTTACCATGTGAACAGTTGAATTTACAGATTTTTTTTCTTCTGCTTGATCAAGCATGGTACTAATTATCTCTAGCAAATTTTTCCATTTTTTAGTTATATTTTTCAGTTTAAAGATGTTTATCTCTTTGGAATAGCTGTTCTCTTTGTTGATTTTCTTATTTTGTTCACAGGTTGCTTTTCTGATTTTCTTGGCTATGTTCACTTATAGTATACTGGATTCATGAAAATCATTGTTTAAAATCCTTTGGTAATGAATAGACCTCTATATCTAAGTTTGGTTTCTTCAGATTTATTTATTTTTGGTCCATGATTTCCTGTTTCTTTGTGTTCTTCATCAATTTTTTAATTTTTGCTTTTGATGAAATAGCCACTTCTCTTCTTTATGGCCTGGCTTCATATAGAAGTCCTCCTCATAGAACTTTAGTTAGAGATTCTGGAGTCCTCTTAAAATTTTTCGCGGGGATGTATCTTCTCTGGGCTTGCATGTGTAATTTCTTAACTAGAGAAGTGTGCTTGTTTCTTTTTCAAGACGCGAGTGTCTTTCTCCCTCTAGTGGCTGTGTCTGTGATGTTGGTGTTTATTGGTCACTGCAAATTACTGATCTCACTTTAGTTTTCTGTAGCTCTCAAGCCTCCAAGGTTTGTCTTTTCCATCAAAGCTCAGAGCCAGGTGCAACAGAAGCCAATCCTTTAAATAGTCCCCCAGAAGATTTAGAATACTGTGAGCAAAGTCTCACTCTTTCCATCTGATGAAAGAAACCATAAGCTTGGTGCTTTTTCCAATTGCAGTTAGTTGTGCTGGCTTCTCCACAGAATTATAAGTTCTCTGGTGCTTCTACAATCTTCTGGACTCTGTTGTTTTCATAATGGTTCCCAAGGCATCCAAAATATGTGAGTTGAAAACTAGTTACTCCTGGAGCTGCCTGATAGAATGATGCACATACTTTCCATTCTTCTCTTTCTCTCCAAAATATCCTTTCTTTTCATGATCTCTTCTGTGTTTAATCCTTTCTTTTTATTGACTGATACTTCTTGCTTTTGTTTTCCCTGTGTTTCTCTGAGAAAAATGTATTCTTTTTGTCACAACTCACATAAAATGATGTGTTGAAAGATGTTAATTACTTAATTAGATATTAGCAAGTTTCTTTCTATCACTTCTGTTCTTAGAACTAAGGAAAAATGGGAAGTAGTCGAGTTCTCCTTTTTGTGACAGTCTTGTGCTGATTTCCTTGGTGGCTGGAGTTTTAGATAAGAGCATTGCACAGTTTGGTTTTCCTGATGACTTTCATCATGTATCTCAAGTCCACCACCTTACTGACTCTCCTCCTTTGTGATTCTGATGTGTACATTTTACAGGTGATGTGCTGTGATCATTTCAGAGCATCAGTTGTATAGGTTGAGCTATGTTTCCCAGATTTACTCTCTTTAAATTTAAGGTTGCATTGGACCTCAAGATTTGATGACTGATACAAAGCAGCAGCTTATTTGCCATGGTTGGTGCAGGCAGACTGGAATGCTCATGCATATTATTGCATCCCTGTTGGCTGCCTCATTGCACGAGCCAACAGCTTGGCCTGCAGCCTCTCCACCTATCCTCGCTAAGCCTTCCAACTTCTCTGACTCCTAGACCCTGTGCATGGGTAGCTCCATGATGAAGGGAGCCAAATACTTCTGCAGAACCCTCATATTATCGAACATGCAGGAAGTGAGGGAGGCTGATAGGAGTTCTCGTTGGTTCTCATTGGTTTTAATTCATGCTCCTTAGTTCTGTCTCCCCCTGTAGACTCCAAGCTGCAGCAAAAGACAAATAACAACCTGTTTTGTTATTATAAAAATATAGTCATTTATTCAGCAAGAAATTTTTTCATTTAAATTGAATGATTTGTTGACTGATTGAAAAGTGCTGAGCAGTGGCTGTTAATAAATAACTCTGATTATGCATAATTTCAACCTGGTATTCAGGTAAGTTAACAAAAGCCTTAAATAAACAACTTAGCCACCACTTAACACATGTGAACACACATACACAAATGTACACGTGGTGAGAGAAAGCACAGGTGTGTAAATATTGTAGTTTTTACAGCAATATGATCTATGCTAGAACAATTTAATTCTGCTGTTGTTTGTCAAGGCAACCAGAGAGAATCATAGATATATGGACGTATATCTGTGTCTATGTCTCTCTGTCTCTACTTCTACGTCTATATCTATTGGTATATGTGTGTATGGCTATCTCTGTAAAGTGTTATGACCTTTCACTATTAGGTATGTAATCTTCTAGCGGTATTACTTATCTGAGCGAACCCTAGTAGATACAGAATCAAAATATTACAGGGATTCTGAAATTTCCACACTTTACTGAGGAAGACTTTCTCCACTTTTCTGCTCCTCAGTTACATCCTCCAAGGCTTTCTGGAGAACCAGCTTCAGGGACTTCTGCTGTAGCTGCGGATGCTTTTTCTGCCTAAAGGAGCCAACAAAGAAGTAAATGATGGGGTTGGCACTACTATTAACACTAGAAAGGAAAAAAGCAATACTCCAAAGATTATTTGAAATCATAAAACGGATCTGTGTGGACGTATACCACAGGATGCCTACAGGCAGGCCACAGAGGAGGAAAACAAGCACTGTGAGCCCAAGGGTTACATACAACCTGCTCACCAACAGCCTCCTGGATCCACATAGGATCTTGATCAGCAGAGTCAGGCTGGTCCCAAAGAGAACCACAAATAAAAAGATCAGCCATGCAGCTGTGGTGAAATGCATTATCAGGCATATGTCATATCTCTTGTCAAACAGTAAGCTACACAAGGTGTGTATCAGGATGGTAAGAAGCAAGGATAGAGCCCAAAGCAGGGCACATGTGACAGCTGACACGTCTTGGGCGGCGGTAGCGGTACCAGATGGGGAACAGGACAGAGAAGCAGCGCTCTGTGCTGATGGCACCGGAAAGCAGAGGGAAAAGACTGGAGCGAGGAGGGAGATGCAAATCTCCAAAGGAACGCCACTGTGACCACCTCTTCTGCCTAGGTCCTATCTCCTAATTGCACATTCAGCTATGAACTTGTGAATGGACTAATGTGCTGAGGAGTACAGTACCCTATGATCCAATTACTTCTCAAAAGTCTCACCTCTGAGCACATGAGACTTTTGATGGGCATTGTAGATCTACATCATAGCAGCTAAAAAGCTCAGTGTGTCGGAAATTGAAGTCAGGTGAACTTCTGTTTCCCTAATGGCCAGCTTCCCGTGCGGCATGCTGTGTTCTCAATATCTATTTACTGAGTGAATGCTGTGTATGCCTTGCATATTAGCTACTAATAACACAGCATGCCTCATGTATTAGCTACTTTCCCACTGTGGAACAAAATAATCCACTCTTCTTCTACTTCCTGGCTGCCGTGAGATGAGCAGCTGTCCTCCGCCAGACCTTTCCACCCTGCTGTTTCTGCCTTGGAGGCAGCAAAGGATGGAACTCCCCGGAAACTGTGAGTCAAGTAAACTTCTTTTCCTTTAAGTCGTGGGTGTCAGGTACGTATTTTGTCCCACAATGGGAAAGTAGCTAATATACGAGTACACCAGAACCAGCCATCCTCATACCTGTCTATCTGTGTTTTCTGTATATTAGCTATCTATTTAATGAATGAATGCATGAATGAGGAGCATAATGGTAGTAGAAGATTTGGGTTAAGTGGAAAAATAATAGAGAAGGCATAATTAAATGTATTAGAGCACTCAGGTAAAAGTGAAAGGAAGAAAATTTCATTCATCATATCGAATTTTGTGGATAGCTAAATGCGTTAGTAAGAATTACTAATGTGATCTTAAATAATTAAAGTTGGTCACTAATGTGCCTTTCAGGTGAAGACTTAAAATACCTTTGGTGAGCACCTAGAAAGATTTTGATGCATGGTGTGGGAGTAGGATTTAAGCTGGGGCTGAGCTGGCCAGGAATATAAAGATCAAGGCATAAGTGTGAGGTCTGAGAACCACTGGAAGGGCTACTTGAAGTATGAAAATGTTTAAAGAAAGAATAGTACGTGTTGTGCTGTGAACGGTACACTACAAACCTACTCCATTTCTTTTCCCACAAGATGTTTTGTAGAATTTGTTCTGCAGAGGAAAGCCTTTATGTTAGGAGTCTTTGCGTGAAACAGAAATGCAGAGCTTGGAATGTAAAGTGATGAGCTCATGCAGATTTTAATGCACAGAGCAGCACCTCACATCTGAATGAAACATAGAATGTGACTGAGAGTTTACCAGATCTTTTATATTTGAATCTTCTCAAGGACTTAAGAGGTGTGAGCATTGTTTCCATTTTACAGTGGACTGGGTTGGAACACAAGGGGATCAGTGATTTGTCCTGACTTAACACCATGGGATGAGCCCAGCAGTATTGCCTCAGACTCCACTGTTTTGCCTACAGTCCCTGCACCACAGAACTGTGAACGGCACACAGCTGGGGGAAAGCAGAGCAGTAATTCCATGGGTAAATCCAAGCTGGCTGCCAAAACTGTGTATTAAATAAAGTGCATCATGAAAACCTCCAGGAATGAGAGAAAGGGAAGCCAATAAAATACATAAGGAGAAACGTCACCGGGGAACTAAAACCAGTCAAGAACAGATATCAGGGTCCTGAAGCTGCCCCTGCCTCACAAGGGCAGCCATGGCTTCCTGCTTTAGCAGTGTCACCCAGACAAAAGGCCCCAGCTAGAAAGCCTACACATCCTCCTTTGGGAGTGCAGAGAGGCATCCAATACATCCCTCACGAGCTGCCTTAGAGAGACCATTTCCCATCCTTACACAGCCCAACAAAGATGTGGGAGGAAATTGAGAATTTCTGTTGTTCCTGCTTGGGGTACTTCAGTTTGAACACGTGCTTTCAGAGCTGTTAGGAGACACGACCAAGACACTGGACAACGTGCGGCAGGATTCAGGGTTTTCAGCTCCTGGATTTCTGCCTGCCAGGCAGTGTGTTGGCAAGGACAACTTTCCTCCACTTGCCTGGTCATCCTTTCCTGCTTCAGCTGAACATGCTTTCATTCCTATGAACATTCCAAAGCTATGAACACGCTTTCATTCCATCAACTGCTCGTCTTTCCAGCCATCCCAGTAACTGGTGTATGTATTCTTTTTCTGCTGCGTGCTTCAGGGTGCTTTAGTATGCCTCATCAATTTCCCTCGACTATGGCTATCTTTGTAAATAATCAACTAAAAAAACTTCTCATTTATTTTATTCTGGGCTAAGTGCTTTCTTCTGGTCTCTTCTTAAATGTTCCATGGGGAATAACAAGTAAAACCATGAAACCTGGCTTTATAGCAGCTCACGTCTGGGATGCAATGTCCACATTCACCTTGCTCATTTCAGAAGGAAGCTTCATGTCTCTTTCCCTTCTCTGAAAGAAGTTTTAGGACCCCATGTATGTAGCATCCAGGAGGGAAATATACACGTAGACCGAAGACCTTAACAAATTTTATAAGTAAAGTAGGTCTTGGTGTACACTCTTACTTGTCTTTTTTTCTATTCAGAGGTGGGGAGCTGACTTGTGCAAGAGAAGAAGAGCCTTTCTTGGACTAAATGATAACAGAGTACCCTTCTGTGTCTTCTCAGTTAGGAGATGCTTACAGGAGCTGGAATACAAGCTAGAAATCAAGCAATGCTTATCAAAATGCTGGGCAGCCCCTATGATTTCCTGCATAGACAACTTGGGGATGACAGTGGTTTGTGACGTGACTCTTCACAGAGATGTTTCTGGGTATCTCCAAATCAAACTTGCATATTAGCCCCTCCTTTCCCATAATCTGACATACCTTTCTGTCAATAATTGCTATTATGGAGCCTTTAATTGCCAAAAGTATGATCAGGGCAGCAGCAATAGCAAGCAATATGAGCTTGCCTGTGAGGCTTTATATCTGAAGACTAAATTTTATCTTCTTGTCATTTAAATCTCACCATGACCTGAATTTCCTTTTTAAAAATCTAGTAATAATGCAGTCGTGTGTGTGTCTTCTTTCTACATGCCAGAGAAGTAAGTGCAAGTTGACAGTGTCCCTCACTGCTTGCTACAGCTACCATTTTTATTTCTTTTATTATTATTAGTTCTGAACGGTTGTTCTGACTTAACATCTAGATGTTTCCCAAGAACCTCACTTACTCCTAGACCAGAGTTTTGGAAGGTGATTTAATTGTTGGGGAGCTACAGCTGACCTTCTGCCTTGAAGCCAACCAACTGTGGACTAAAATGCAAACAAAAATAAACTTCTTGTCCATTAAATTGTGTGTGTTGGGTGTTGTACCCTAGCAATGAGAAAAGTGGTTGAGATGTATATTTCAATTTTTAATTTATTATATAAAAGACTGGGTCGATTGACTTTCCTTATCAGATGTAGAGTTCAGCTTATATAATATATCCTTGTTTTTCTCACTTGTGTTAACACAACTTGTTATTTATTTTCATTTAGTGGAAATAATCAGAATATCAAGTCTTATCTCCTATGATTTTCATTTTTGTTCTTTATGTTACAGGCAAATTAAAATTGGTTATCATTTTTAGTAATGTCATTTGCATTAAATTAATTGTAACCATGAAGACAATTGTATAATGATTTATTCTGCAAACATTTATTAAGGACATTCCTATGTGCAGAAATTTATTCCTCTAGTATTCAAATGCTAAAATCCTAACCACAAACACCTCTGAATATGACTGTAGTTAGAGATAAGATGTCAAAAATCCAATTATGTTAAAGTGAGGCCCGTCAGGGGAGACTTAATTCAACAGGAATGATGCATTGATAAGAAGAAGAGATTAAGCCACAGATACACAGAGAGATGATTGGATGAGATGGGAGAAGAGCCCAACCATAAGCCAAGCAGAGAGGCCTCAGACAAAACGAAACCCACATAAGATATCACTACATGCCTCTCAGAGTGGTGTATCAGTGAATGTTCACTAGAGAAATGGATTTAATGGCTAAATGAAAAAATACTCAGGGTTTTGAAACTTGAACATTTGAATGCTGACAAAGATTTAGAGAAAGTGGATAAGTCATACACTGCTGGTGAGATAATAAAATTGTATAGTTGCTCTAGAAAACTTTTTAATTCTCTGAAAAAGTTAAACATATACCAGAATACTACATAGAAATGTACAATAGGAATTTTTCCCAGAGAAAGGAAAATTATTTTAACTTAAAAATCTGTGCACAAATATTTATACAGGTGTTATTTATAACAGATAAACTGAAAGCAAACAAAATGTCCCTCCTTTTGTGAATAGTGAAATCAAGCATGGTACTGTCTATCTATACAATGGAATAGCACTCAGAAAGCAAAACCATACATGATTAATATGTGTAAGTATTTGATCTTAAAGGCATTATGCTGAGTGAAAAATCTAAACACGAAAGGTTAGGAAGTGTATATAATTTATATAACAGTTTTGAACTAATAAAATTAAAAAGATGGAGAACAGGTCAGATATTACCATGGCTTTGGGAAGTAGGATTCAAGTGGTTTGATTATAAGGGGTAGTCACGGGAGTTTTTTGTGCAGTGAAGGTAGTTCTGTATGTCATGAGATGGTGTTATGTATGTCTATACATGTGTCAAAATGTGATACACAAAGACAAATTTCTCAAAAGGAAAATGAGTGCACACAAAAACTGGTGAAGTCAGAATAACATCTCTAGCATTGGTAATTATATTGTGCCAATTTGATCTTTGATAAAGGGGTCAAAAATATACACTGGAGGAGAGATAGCCTCTTTAATAAATGGTCTTCATAAAACTGGCTATCGACATGCAGAAGATTGAAGGTAGACTCTATCTATCATCATATGCTGAACTAAAATCAAAATATATCAAATGACTGAATGTTAATACAGAAACACTTAACTTGCTGGATGATAATGCCATATAGGTCTGTCTTAGTTACTGTTCTCATTGATGAGACAAAATATTTGACA